GTACACAAATCAGAACGGAAGCAAATTCAAAACACCTCATCATTGCACTTCATGAATTGCGGGCCATGGCTGCTGAATTCAACCACAGGGGACCCAGATATCAAACCCATTTAAGATGCAGATTGTCTTTTTTTTTTAGAGCGCTGAAATCTTAAGCTCTTGCAGACATTTTTATGAGCACAACTTATACTGCTGACCTTATATTTTTTCAACAAAAAGTACATTTTAATGCATTTGCTTGATAATAGATTCAGAAAGAGCGGATATTTTTTTTTAGAGTTGTTAGCAAAATAATTGAGCTTTTTATGGAAAAACCATATCAGACTGAATATTTTTATGTTTGTGAAAACATGTCTAGAGAGAGTCTTTGAGATTATGTGAAATTTAACCTCATTTACAGCTGAGGTCTCAGCATGGTTAGATTATGGGACAATGTGCCACTGGGCACAGATGCACAACCCCCATATTTTGAGTGAGTCCTTTCATGTTGAATGTAACTGTTGGGCCCAATTTTCATATAAAAATAGTGATTAATTGAGATTTATGGCACTGTTACATTGCAGATCATAGTGTTTTTGTCTCACTTCATAGTTTCCTGTCACAAAAAAAATCCATTTGGAGTACCAAGTGGCTCTGTTCTGGGGCTGCTACTACTACTACTACTACTACTACTACTTTTCAGCCTTCATTTGTTGACCTCTAGTGGTCAGCACAGTATCACACTTCCATTTGTCACTCACTAGCTGTTGATCTCACATCTCACTCAACATCACAGCCTGAAAACTTCATTTTTGACAATTTATGGAAATCCAAATATTTCCCAAATCCAGTTCATTTTGACAGAAGCTATATCCTAGTTGACAGTACAAAAAAGCAAAGACAAAAACAGTGCCCACCATTAATAATAATTAGGATGCTGTCATTGACTCTGATCTAACTTTCCAACTGCATATGAGCAACATAACAGGGTTTTATCATTTAAAGAGTATCGCCAAAGCTAGGCCTTTTCTTTGTCCTAGAGATAGAGAGAAACTTGTGCATCCTTCAGTTGGAAAGTTCAATTCGAAAGTACACTCAACTACTGCAGTGCATTGTCACAGGTCAGTTGCAGCTCATGCAGAATGCCACTGCCAGTAAATAGCTGGAAGACAGAATGTTAACATTGTAGTTCTTACCTCTAATGGTATTAATGAGCTTGTCCCTGATTATTTAATTTAAAAAATATAATTTATTTTGCAAACGTTGCTGGTTGATTCCTCAGATCCACAGATTCTCTACTGCTAACTGTAACGAAAACTTAGACAAAGACCTTTGGCGAAGCTGATATCTGCAGTTAGTTTGTTTATTAGTCCCTAACCCGAACTGTGGCATTCATGCCTCCGGATCTAAGGGCAGCAATGTCAATTAGCGCTTTAAAGTACCTACTGAAAATGTACCTTTTTTCCATTATAATTGCATCATAATCTGCTTTTACAACTCCATTGACCCTGTTAAATGATATATGTCTCTGTACAGTTTTTCAGCATTACAATGATAATGATGATGATAATGATAATTATTTTATTGTCTCCACTCAATCTGTGCTGGCAACCAGCAAAGCAGCATCTTGTAATACCATGCTTTTAAATTAAGGTCATACTAAGATCTGATAATCTGTTGGACCAGCACAAATCTTCTTTAAAAACATGCATGTATTGCCATGATGACAGTCTGATGAGTTGATAAGCAAAGACTCATGCATTCATGCAACAGGATATTTATTTGTGCAGATACACTGTACTTCACTTCAGTGACTTGTTTCCTCATGCGAGTTACAAAGTACCCCAGCAGAGGGAGACATTGCTCCAGTATTGCTTATCTAACAGCCCAAGCCAGTCAGCCAGAGTGTTACACAGTTTCACAAGACTGCATCAGAAAGGTGAGAGACTGTGGAGGGACAGGAACAAATAGATGAGTGAATGAATGCAGTGTGTAGAATCCCACTCATGACAAACGACAAACAATGCTCAGCTTTTTGTGTACATCTCCAGCCCAGGGTTAATTTTTAGATAGACAGGATTTCCCAGAGACAGTTACATCCACAGAGGATAAGCATAAACATTTTAGTGGCAGCTCTACAGACATCAGTCCACAGCAGAGATGGAGGACTGACTCAAATCAGACACAAGTGGCAAATTTGAGGACTTGAGACTTGCTTGACTAACATTAATGAAAGACTTGACTTAACTATGACTTAGCATTTAGGACTTGAGAGTTAGACTTAAAAAACATTGCATTCCTCAGACATTGAGAAGCTATGTTTGTTTTTGAAATATGATTGGGTGATTTCTAGTGCGATTTGTGCCAACCTGCTGACCTACTAGGACACAGCAAACCAGCAGAGGCCAATGCATGAAGCAGCTACGGAGGGGACTTGTCTAAAAATAATAAAATTTGGATTCAAGTATTGTGTTGCTGATGGAGGTTATAAGAAGGAAACACTTGCATGCAAGGTCTGCAGCTCAAAAGTCAGTAATATGGCAACATATTACCTCATTCGTCATTATAAAACCTACAAAGAAGCCACGTAAATGTGTTATTTTAGTTGATTTACTTGCATATTTGCTCATGGGTTTAGTTTATTTGGACGGGAATATGTCCATACCACTTTTCCGATACCTAAAATTGTTCCCACCACTACCTTAATGTCAAGCACTGATGCGTTTACATAAAATGTGATTTCTAGCGACTCTACAAAAAATTAAAGGCAGCTTTATTATGTCTGGGGACTGTGTCCAAATTCCAGTACACTTCTCATGGATAAACAGAGTGAAACATCTGGGAGCTGTACTTGCAGAGACAGAGAAGTTAACCACAGTAACTCTGTTTTCACTTTAGAGTCTTTTAAAGTCACAGGGGTTTGTTATTATTTTAGAGCCCCACTCGCCATTGCTGTTCATTTACGTAGGAGGCTTGTAAGTGATTGCCGGAAAATGTCAAATATTAGTCAGATTTTTTTTAGGTGTAAGCAGGCTTCGAAATGTTGCAAATAAAACTCAACTTTTCATGACTATGGTCTGTTTAAATGACTGAAATGTGGAAACTGGGGCAGATCATCAGAACTTCATATGACTTGGCTTGTGACTTGCTTGACTTGAGCAATTGACTTGTCTTGCTTGACTTATAGCAGGGACTTGACTCAACTTGCTTGCAGGAGTTTACTTGTGTGATTCTCACCACAGTAACTTGGGACTTGCTTGAGACTTGAAAGTTAAGAGTTAAAAATTACTTATGACTTACACATTATTGAATTACTCCCACCTCCAGTGTACAGTTTAGATGTTTTTAGGGCTTGTTATTTTTTCCACATAATTGCAGACTGTGGAGATCTTGTCTTACCCATGCAGATTACAATGATAAGAATCCCAAGCAGGATGTATTTGTACAATGTTATCTTAGCAATACACGAGATTTTACATCATTCACTTTCAAATGTTTGTTTATCATAAAACTTCCGATGGACCACGGGATCAGGAATGCAATGACGTTTTTATTATAGTCAGTGTCTTTCACCAAAGCGCTGCTTGATCAGACAACAGCTCTCAAGGTCTCAATATCTAGTGCGGGGGTGTTTGTTGGAAATAAACAAAGGAATTACAACACACTTCTAACACTAACTTTATGTAGCGTCATATCAAGCCCAGGCATTACTGAACATGGCAAATATGTGGCTCATCATAGCAGATGTGCAATAAGTGAACAAGCCCAAAAACCCCTGTGGGGGTTTGTTGTTAACTGGTGTAATGTGTGTATCAAAGACCGATGAGATGTTTATTGATGTTTTGAGGAGGCCCTGCCCTTCTGCTCCTTGTGTGATCAAGGGGGAGCCGGTGGCAGCAGTGCAAATATTTGGGCGCTGTCTTAGATGACAAGTTGAATTTAGACGTGAACACTGACGTCATCTGTAAGAAGGCAAACCAACTCCTACTCTTTTTAAGGAAGCCTAAGGGCTTTGATGTAGATAGGACAATCATGAAAATGTTCTATTCTGCTTTTTTCGAGTCCGGTCTTTCTTTTAACATTGTCTGATGGTTTGGCAATCTGAGCTTTAAAAACAAGAACAAGTTGGTAAATGTGGTGACGCTGTGCTGTAAGATCAGTGGTGTTACCTTTAATAACCTACAGCATCTGTAAGAAGAGAAGGTCACCACTATTGTCTCAGACTCTCAACATCCCACCCATGATGAGTTTCAGATGCTTCCATCAGGGCGGAGGTTTTGCTTCTCTAAATGTAGCACTAAGCATTACAGATCGTTCTTTTTCCCATCTGCTATCATTTATCTTAACCAGCAGTGACCACTACTTGTCCATGACTAACCCTGACAGTGTGTAATACTGGATTCTGTGTGTTATGTACTGTCTATTTTGTTGTACTCATGACTACTGTCTGTATCTCAAATTGCCCCTCAGGAACATTAAAGTATACCTTATCTTACCACATTTATGTCGGCAGTGGAGGTAGGAACAACACTAAAATCAATGTCTGTGCAAAAGGAACAGCCGGCAGGATGGGTGTGACATATGGACGATGCCAGGAGATTTAAAAAGCAGCTAGCATTAGTTAGTATATTAACTCAAAGAACAGAAAATGTCAGCAGATTGAGAAAACAGTGAAATGAAATCTAATTTTAATGTATATTAAAATGTCATGGGTTGGATTGTGAATTCCTTGACAAACGGTTTCCCATTTTGACAGCATTATCCTTGGTGTATCTTCCACATTACACTACCACATTCCCCAGGGTTGTGTCATTGCTAATCTTTGTATCTTCCAGCCCATGTAAATAATTGAGATTACAATGACGGCATGTTTTTGAAATATGCTGCTGACTCATTTTGGCCAGTTGTTGGTATTTTTGTGTCTTTGTGTCTGGTCTGGGAAAGAGAAACAGGCTGGCTGAGCTAGTCAAGGTCTCCTTAAAGGTGTGGTGCAGGGGTTATCATTAAGGCTGAATTGATTCTTAACTGCTCTGATCACTGACTTCATAGGGAGTTTGGTCTCCTTCCTTCAGGACGCTGCAATAAGGGAAGCTCAAAACAAAGTCACAGCAAAGACTGAACCTCTTTTTTTATTACCCTTACTTGTATGTCTTTGACTACAGAAGCCTGCAGGTCATTGTCATCACTCTGTTCATGTTATCTGTGTTTTTATTGTCTGTCTCCTGCAGGATGATAGTTAAAGTTGCAGTTGAAGTTGTCATATTTGTACGATCGTGATAAATGTCCCCTTGGCACCTTGAAATGAAATAAACCTATATGCTTAAATCGTGAAGAAAAGCAAAGTGCACAAACATATTAACAGAACAAAAGTATTTACAAAACAAAAAAAGAGAGACATTATGACACAAACAACACAAAACAAACTTCAACTGTCATATTGGTATTGGGAGCATGAAGTGAACAAGGTCAGGTTAGCTTTTACGGTTGCTATCCGGTCCGTCAACTGATTTAGCCATTGGTTTATTGATAATTTGTTTTTGTCTGTCTAGTCGAATCACCCACTCAATTCTGAGTATAGACTCCTTCCATCTGGCCTTCGCTTGTGTGTCCCACGGGCCACTAAAAACAGGTACAAATACTATTGTTTACGCTATGTATTTACTGGCACTTTTTCTTGATTGCTCCTTTGAGAGATTGCACTTTACCAGACACCGTGTGTCATATTGGTACTCTGTGCACTTTCCTGGTCACTGCCCAGAACTCGTATCATATTTATTATTTTTAGCTTATTCTAGCTTATTTAGTATAATTATTAATGGGAGTCAGCTGGCAGTCTTGTTGACTTGGTGTGTGCTAGCATACTGCTCGGTAACTGCTGCTTGTTACTTGCATTGTCTCCATGTTATGTACTGTCTTACCATGTTTTTATGTGTGTGTGTTTTTGTGCCTCTATGCCGCTGCAACCTAATTTGCCCTTTGGGACATTAACAATAAAACTGAACTGAACTGAACTGAATATGGTAGTCTTGAGATGTTGTGGGATTGCGAGTGAGGAGAGAGATCACCTAGATGGAGGGGGAGAGAGGGATGCTAAGGTTGCAAAGTGCATCTTGTAGCCCAATCATCTGAGAACATTCACAACGTATTAACCTTTTGAAGACTGAAGAAAACTACGACTACACTACTATTGCTGTGTTTACTGGCAATATTTTCAGGAATATTTTAATTCGGCCCAGCCGGAAGAAATAAATGTTAGCACTGTATTTTTCCGCAAACTACGATAGTTACTTATCATATCGGCGTTTCTGAGGTGATGTAGTATGTGAGCTGACTTTGTCATCTTGAGGTGGAGGGGATGGTGGATGATGTGACTCCTGCCGAGCTGCAGACTCCTGTTTGAGACCATCAAAAAACAAAATTGTGATTTCACCAGTCACTGCTATGTTCCCAGCAGTTTTTTTAGGCATCATCCATTTAGTGACCTGTCACTGTTTTTCCAGCAACTTCTTAAGTACCAAATTTGGCTATTTTATAGAAACTCATTGCTGCTTTCCAGGTTTTTTAGGCATGAAAGGCAATTGGTTTTTGCAGAGACATTGCTGGTTTTCCTACCAGGATAGTGTCACAAAAAACAACTGATTTTGCAGAGACATTGCTGGTTTTCCCTGCAACACTGTGCCAAATCAAAACATGACCATTTCCTCACCATAACCAAGTGGTTTTTGTGCCTAAACCTAACCTAATGTTAACCACAGCATTGTTGAATCGTAAGTGTCAACGCACTACGTCCACTATCTAATAATACGCAAATGTAATGTATCTGTGTTTTTTAAATTTTTTTGTTGTGATTGGGTTGTTTAATTCAGTCAAGTAGGCAGTGGTCTAGCATAGATTATATTACTTTCATATAAACAATTATCCTGTTCTTGTTTTGCAGAAATTCCTCTGTCTATCTCTCTGCAGCACACTGTTTCCACTTGAGCCTCATCACAAAGGCATTTAGCATTGGGAACACAGCTGTGCCACAGAATGCCGTGGCCTAAACTTGAAGCTGCTTGCACCTGATGTCTATGCAGAGTGTCATCCTCATAAGAACATATAGGTGGCTCAGAGTCAGAAAAACAGAGTTTGAACAGTGGTCTGAACTGCAGCCTATAGTGGCGGATACTGCTATACATCCAGGCCAGTGTCGTAAGCATCCAGTTCAGTCCCTGTTTGATGATAACAGAGATGGTGTTGAAGAGGGAATAAGTGCAGCACACCCCCAAGAGCATCAGGAGACAGTTTGCAACCTGGTACGCCCAGGTGTCCTCATGGTGCTCTCTCTGTCCACTAACAAAGTCCCCGAAGCCCACTGTGCTGAATGCCACGAAGCAGAAGTAGAGGGACTCCATGTAAGTCCAGCCCTCCATGGCTGAATAGAGAAAGGCAGCCCCGCATGCAACCAACAGGACGGCAAAAAAGAGGATGAGTGTGACTTGATACACAGATGGTTTCCACTCTTCATTCCTGTTTTCTTCACCGGTTTGGCCTTCCAATCCGCTGTGTCCAGGTCTCCCTCTGTGGCACCAGAATATCAGGAAGCTCAGTAATGTTATGACTCTCTCCAGAAAGAGGTTAAAGAAGAGTATGGTCGCAGAGCAGCCCAGCAACCCATAGAAAACAAGCAAGACCTTCCCAGTCACAGTGGATGGGGCCGTCACTCCAAACCCTAGGAGAAACACACAAAGTTAAAGGTCACATCTTTGATTACAGACACTATCATAACATTAGTTGCACAGAGAATTGTATTGCTACCACTGTAAAAATTTGCTGTGTTACAGAATTGCTTAGAGAGTATGTCAAGTGAACATAATTTTTGTATGTTTAAAGGAGCAGTGTATGATTTAGGGAGATTTAGTGGCGTCCAGCAGAAAGGATTGCAGATTTTGACCAGCTAAAACTTCTCCTGGTTCCTTTAGTATTCATTGTTTAGGAGGTTTTTACAGGAAGGCAAATCATCTTCAGGGCCATCTTTGTCTCCAAAACAAAAAGACCAAATGATTAAGACTGGGGAAAATACTTTATAAAGCAGTTTTGCATCATGCTTCTCCAACATTGGCATTTTGAAGACAGGCTTTAGGGTGTTAAAGCAACTCTTACCTTTTGTTGCGTTTCACACAGCACTTAGAAAAAATTTTAACATCCACAACTCCTGCCTCCCTCCAAAGTCCCCCTCCTCCTGCAACTCCCCCCTCCTCCATTACGTGCTCATTACGTCTATGATAGACGTAGGCGTTGGCAAGGTAACGTTAGATACACGGAAGAGGAGAGCGAGTGTAACGTTACAACCAAGACAGTCAAAAACAACCCCAGATTTTGAAAACTCAACTGGAGTCAGTGATGACTGATGAGTTTTAGAATAAGGTTTACAGTGCTAACGTTAGATAGTAGCGTTAATGTTACTAGTAAGTGGAAACGCACAAGGAAGACAATGTTAATGTTTCAGAGGCTACGCTACATTAGGCTAACGTTAGCCATTAGCAACTGGATGCTGTGTTGTCGTATATCATGTTATAGCCTATATTACATTAGAGGCAAACTAAAAATACCTGCCCAGCAGAAACTCTGCGACCATCTCCTCCCATTTTAGCTCTTGCAGCATCGAGTTCTCTCTTAGTGTTAGCTTTTTCTGCAGTATTCTTTCTTTTGCCAACTGATTTCCCCGTTGGAGCGGCTGGAGGTGGAAGCGGTGTTCCACATTTGTCTGCCATTGTTATGGAGAAAAGTTTATATCCACAAACATCCCTGTTACTAGCCTATTTGTGGTCTCACAGACTTCCAGAAAATTAAGTGTTGCTTTAATGTGTGCTCAGCTTTTTTCTCTGATGTCTTAAGATCCGGATTATTCTGCCAAGTAGCGGAGGTTGTGGCGGAGGTTGTGGCTTCCCTCCTTCCCTTGGTTTGCTTTTGACCACGGTAATGACCAGATTACATTGAAATTTTCCCAGAAGATGGAAATGTATTAGTATTGGTGATGCTGTGACCTTTATCCCAATAAAATCCTCAGCAGCTGCAACATCTACCACCTACACAATCTATTTAAAAAATGTTGTCTGTTAAAGTAATTTTGAGCCTTGGCCTTGTACCTCTTGTTCAGTCTTGTTCAGCGCCATTTCCTCACTGCAGGTAATTTATCATTCACAGTTACTGGACATTAATTCACACACTAAAAACTAAACTAACATCCTCCTCGTGAATAAAAGAATCACCAGTGTTACTCATTTCCTTGATCAAGCGAGTTGTCCTGTGTTGCATGACCATGCATCCTCTGTCATCTTCCTGTGGTTACAGCATCCTCTCTCAAAACTTGTGAGAACATGTCCGGCAGTTGTGCAGGATATTCCCAGATGAGACAATGAGGCTTTATTGTCATGAGGCTCACAGGTCCACTTGATGTCATTGTTTACATATTGGTGGTGTAGCAGCAATCTATCCATCCATCCATCCATCCATCCAGTAGGCCTGCTCCACATTACCACCACTATTAAGCAGTCTGTTGGCAATACACTTGACACGAAATGAATCTTCCAAGGCAGTAAGTCCGTTTGAAAACTTTAATTAAAAAATCAAAAAACAAAGTTACAAGATTCACTCTTAATTGGCTCAACTAGGCACCGTCAAAAAACTGTCTTGCTCCTTCGGCTGCTTAACCGTCTCTGAGGGCTGTTTGGCTGTACATCATCAACAGCATGACTTAAAGGAGCATTTCCACATCTTTAGAGTAAAACTACCATATTATTCTTAATAATATCAATATGGCTCTTACATTTCCAGCCCCTAATTGCTTATGCTAGATGCAGAACAATTATCAAAAATTATCAAACATGAGAGCCATGTAACATTCAACAAAATAACTACAATATTGCTACATGTACATCATAATACACAAAGATAAAACTTTATACATGAACTCTTAATGATGATCTCAGATTGCTCACGTTACATGTTTCAACAGGCACAGTTTATTTATAGGCCTGTCCAGTATGTTAGTCTGCACGCTGACTTGCCTCACTGTACCACTGGAGTCTGGTAATGTCTTTATTACTCTGCCCATATTCCAGGAGTTGCGAAGGACAGATTCATCCATTATCAGTACAATATCTCCTGGTGAGATGTTTCTCTGTGGTGTGAGCCACCTTTGTCTCTCCTGAAGGAGTGGCAAATACTCTCTTGTCCATCTAGTCCAAAACAGATCGGCTATGTACTGTATTTGTTTCCATGGTCGCCGTGCATACTTATCGTTGTTTTTTTTTTTGAATGCACACTTGTAATGAAGTGTATACTGTCAGCAACAGCATTGTGTACTATAATGGTACAGATAATTGATTCCACGACAAATTTCCACTACAGGGACAATAAAGTATATGAAATTAAATGAAAGGAAATTAAAAAGTTTTGGTCAAAGATTCCTGGTGGAATGTTGGGTTGTGTTTTCATAAGCGACAGGTGATTAGGTGTCAAGGCCTCAACATCATTAGGATCATCTGATGCATGTGTTATCGGTCTGTTACTGATGATGGCCTCGACTTACAGTTTGGAGTCCTTCATCATCTAGTGACTGTTGCTGTAACACAGAGTTCAGGACTTTTCTTACAGTACGGATTTGACTTTCCCATATGCCGCCTTGGTGCGAGGCTGCTGGGGTGTTGAAAATCCACTTTATGCCTTTTCCTGTCATGGTGTTCTGTATCTTGGTCTGATTCAGGTTTTCCAATGCTTTGCGCAGTTCTTTTTCTGCTGCAACAAAATTAGTTCCATTGTCTGAGCGTAAAATTTTGAATGAAGGAGAAATCTGAACCATGTGGCTGGACCAGCTTGGAGCCACTGCATTAAACTAAGAAGGAGAACATGATAAACATTATACTTGCTAAACATGTTAGCATCCTTATTGTGAGCTGGTATTTAGCTTAATAGCTGCTGTCCCTCAGTATAACCTCACAGAGACACTTTTTTAGTTTTTTTTCTGTACTTTTGCCATAAACAGTTAAGACTAAGTTAAATGGCATCTGTTGTAACTGCTTGTCTCCAGCTGTAGACTCTTGGTCTTGTTTTAACACAGCTTTAATCAGTACCAGACGAGGACAGTGTTGAAATAAAAAAACGTCCATATGTAAGTGACTATCACAGAGTTTTAGACAAATGTTTCAGAGACAAATGACTGATGAGATAAATCAGTGTTATGGCCCCATTTCTTTAATCAAGGATGGCAGAAATTATCACCCCTTTAGACCAATACTTGAATGAAGTGAACATCACCTAAAAAGGACATCAGTGTCAGCCAACTGCCTGCTGACATCAGCCAGGACAGCATCATATATCTTTGCTCCATGCCAGCCCCAAGTCAGGATATAAATAAATATGTTTTTGGAGAGTGTGCTGAAAGGAAGGAAGGAAAGGCAACATATTAGTGAATGAAAATAGATGTGGGACCGTAGCCCTGAGTAATATATTTGGCCTGTCAGAAAGTCTCTTCCAGCTTCACAAATGATGTGTATCCACATCATGAACTGATTGCAATCAGTAAATAAGGAAGTTGTTGCAAAAAGGAAATTGATTAGGGCTCAGTGCCATCTGTCCCTCAGTTTCCACAGTGACAGAGAGTGCCTGAAGATACTGTATAACTGGAAGGCTGTAAATTGATTCTCAGAGACGAGACTGGTTTTATTTTTATCTTGGAGACACATTTGTCCTCTTAAGATCCAGGTGAAAAATGGATTTCGATGGATTGTAGTTGAGTTTGTAACAACTCACATCTGTGGGCCTCCCCAAATAAATATGGTTTCATATGTCCTGTCTAATTTGGTTCATAGGATTAGTTAAATTGTGTGTAATGGTTATAGATTTGTGTGATTTTGTGATATGGACATAGTATTGATTGGTCGTCAAGGGATCCTCTTCATCAGCACAAGTTGAACAATTGACCCTCATTTGTGTTACATAACATTTTGGCTGCAGTAGTCAGAATGATAAAGCCTTCGCTGGGTAATGGACTGCTGGGAAGTAACTTGTTACATGTAATAAAGTTAATTAAAGGGTGTAAAAGTGTGTAATATTTGGCATGGTTTATTGTCAAATCTGAATCTGAATCTGCATATTCTACCCATTAATATGTTTATGTAAGTGTATAATCGCTATAAAATAAAATTCGTTTGGTTTTCGTAGCCTTATAAGTATGCTTTTATATATATANTAGTTTTGATGCCTTCAGTGAGAATCTACAATGTAAACAGTCATGAAAATAAAGAAAACGCATTGAATGAGAAGGTGTGTCCAAACTTTTGGCCTGTACTGTATATATATATGTAACCCAGGTGACAAATTCTCTCTCTGCCTCTCTCTGCCTCCTACCAGAGATATTGGATGAAGCGAGATACCCAACTCAGCTCACTTCCTGATTCAGTGACATCAGCGCCACGCCCCCGTAGGAGACTTGCGGCAGCTGTGAATGTACTGTCGTCAATGAGGAAAATGAACGTGATCACAATTTATGGTCAGTTCTTTCGCCCTGTAGTCACTTAAGTATATATTGGGTTCATTTTCCACAAGCCACACATCTTCCCAATATTCTGACACTAAAGCTACATTTTTCATCTGCACAGATCAAGAGAAAGTGAACTTTGTTTGAGCCCTGTCCTGCTCCTGTTCTCGCGAGATCTTGTGATCTTGGGGGGGGGGGGGGCACTTATGAGACAGGAGTAACCGTTTTCTTAACATTGGATAAGCCTACAGTTGGATATCTCCCTTCATCCAATATCTCTGCTCCTCCCACTCATCTATCTCGCGATATTTCCTCTTGATCTCGCGTGACGATAATGTAGGCCAGTTGGCCAATCATTGTTGACGCAGTCGGTGACGTCACGCGGTCACATGGGTCGGCGCGGCCAATCGGGTTCAATTAGCGCGTGCTGCTGGTCCGTTTGATTTGAAGCAGAGGGAAGACGGCATGTTTCACAAGAGCTACAGGAGCCCTCTACCGAGGCCAAAACAAGAAGAGCGAGAAGAGCGAGTCGTGTTAGTTTAAACCCAGGACTGGCCAGATTATTGATTTCCCCTGATGGCGAGCTAAGAAAAGGAGCCTGTCTTGAACCTACTGCCAGACCAATTGTTGGAGAGTCGCACCCCTCCTGCCAGGCCGGTAGGGGGCTCCCTGTAGCCCGAGAAAAAAAACTCATACCCCACTCACTTTGCCTACTGCCCTTGCCAACACACATTTTCCCCCACAACTTGTCCCATCACTACTTTTCCCCCTGGACTCAAGTCAAACCCAGACGTGGGTTTCCACAATGAACTGTGGGTGGGCTATTGGGTCTATTGCTGTTATTGTGTTGACTCAATATCGAAGTTTTTGGTCTCCTGCTCGTGAGTGATTCATTACAATATCGTGACATGGCTTAGATTTCTAAATAAACATTTACCTCATCGCTAGATAGACCTAGTCCTGAAAAACTCGTGTCTGCACAAGGCTTTTTGTCCCTACGAGGCCACCGTCATTTACCCGATGGGAGGGGTGAGCAAGTGAGCCCTGCAATCTAGAATGTGACCACTGATGTCACTGTTTTCAACGGTTTTCAACCCATTTTACACACTGGCCCTTTAATGAAATTACAAATTAAATGTAATTGTAATCAGCTACAGTTACTGAGAAAAGTGGTAAGTTATTTGCAGTTACTTGACAAAATATCAGTGATTACAAAAAGGTTGAATTAAAAAAAAAATGTTTTTCTGCAAAAATCTTAAATGTAGAATGTAACATTCCCTCTGTTGCTCTGCATCTCTTCACCATGCAGGAATGTCTCCTTTTGACGTATTTCAGACAACGTGGATCAGCAAAACCTTTGGGACAAATTTGGTTGCAATATTAAAGGTCTTATGATTTTCTGACAATTTTCAGCTTCATTGCCCAGTTTTAAAAAATTGTTAGAAAAGTAATCAAAAAGTAATCTAATGTAAAGAGTTATAATTAAAATAGTGCCATTACTTATCATATTTTTGACACGGTTACTAGTGATCTGTAACCTATTATATTTCAAAAGTAACCTCCCCAACACTGGTAATGGAAGTTATCAACTTTTAAGATGTTGTATTTCACACATAACTGTAAAACTGACAATGTTATGACTTGCAATTAGCCCTTCTGAAGTCCCGCACCTTTTCAGGCTCTGTGTTTCGGTAACAGCTGAGCAAGCTTGGAACACGACAGAACGTCAGTCAACTTTCTCCTCTCCTGCTATGATGGTATTCAGATATGCTATAGGCTCGTCTATGTTGAAATAAAAACCAAATTCGGAGGATGGTTAAAAGATGTGGCTAGGGACTTCATGGACACATTACATCAGTGGTTCCCAGCTGGTGGGTCGCGGGTCAATTCTGAACTAACTGCAAGTGACTCACGAACGTGTCAAGTTTGTAAAAACAAAAAAAACAAAACAAAAAAAAAAACACTTTATTTTGAAGTACAGTGAATTTCTGGCACAGAGCTTTTATTCTGAATTGTCGTTATCTGCTGTAGAGTGAGTGACTAACAGACAGCTACTTGACAGAGACAACAAACTAGCTAGCCAACATGGTCAAAGTGTGACGCTGAATGTATTAAACTGTGTGCAACTGTGTGGACCTTGAACTAATGACTGAGGAGAAATCTGGACCCAATGGCTGGACCAGTTGGGAACCACTGCATTACGTTGTATGGTCACACCTTAGGTTAGCTTAATTTTAGAAAATGCTAGCTAATGGATCTTCATCAAGAGGAGTCAGCCTGATGAAGCTCTAGCAAAAGTTCAGTCAAGAAGACAATACTTTTAATGCTTAAGCTGTAATTTTTCTATCTTACCCGGCCATTCACTCCTTGCATGCACTCTCTGTCTCTGTCATCAGCTGTTCTTCAGCTGATTCACAATCAACCTATAACACAGTGACACACCTTCTCTATTAGCATTATCATTATTTTAGCTATTAGCCATTATCTCCATTATCATCCTCATCCGCCTCATCAGCCATCAGCATCAGAGTCATCAGCCACCACCACTTCCACCAGTGTCTGGACTCCCTTGATCCCAAAAATCTCCCTCTGGTGTCCAAGCACCAAAGACTTCTGCTAAATCTTAAACAGCACAAATTATCTGTTAATCTATACACATATTCTGTACTGAAATTGATTTTCACTTCATCCATCTGTCTCTCCTGATTGAAATGTCAGGCTTGCCTCCTTATTTCTGTGGTAGCGTTCAAGACATTTGGAAAAAGACAGATAGGTTGGTTGCTGACATAGCATAGCCTGTTTTTCTGGACACTTTCTTTGGTATATTGGTTGTGTTGCTTTAATACATGCGCACAAAAGCTAGTTCAATTGGCACCTTTTGGACCAATCTTTCAAGAGAAATCCTGAAAAAAATATCAAGATACACGGTGTCCAGACTACAGTGAATGCTTGCCATATTCTGGACATGTGCTGTTTTCATCTCACGGTATCGTATGACAGGAATTTCCAATGCTCTAAAAGCATTAGCAGAGTAACATTTGTAGCAAACCCATTTTGTTTTTGTGCTTGCTGTTTCTTGTTTTGTCCACCAGAGGGCAGCTTGCATTGTTTGCAGGTCAATTTTGAAAAAATCTTTAAAATATAAATTGCATGATTTGTGTTGCTATTAAGAAGATGTAATTTCATTCATTTTTGTAGGCTATGTATATTTTTGCCCGTTTTGGAGATAATGGTTCCGTTTTTAAACAGTGAGATTTATTTTGAAGACCATTACTTCCTACTTCCTTCCTGTGTTGTACTGCTGAACAAAACAAAGCCACTTGACTACGGAATGAATGGTAAAAATGGTAAAAGTTCAAGGTAAACAAAGGAAAACAAAATAAAACGGCGGCTTAATGATAAAAACGTCGAAGGCTGAGTGTATTTTGGCAACCCCCCGAGGAGGCATAAGGTTGGTGTGTGTTGTGCCTGTGGTGATTATTTGCTTACTTGATGATTTGTGTCAAAAGGTAGGCCTATGCTAACTCTTTTGCCCACCTGTTTGGTGAATTGGCGGTGTATTGCTTGGTATAATGTTGAGTTGTCTGGGTGTTGGTGGCTTAGTGGATAGAGCAGGCGCCCCATGTACAAGGCTGTTGCCGCAGCGGCCCGGGTTTGAGTCCAGCCTGTGGCCCTTTGCTGCATGTCTCTCCCTCCCTCTCTCCCCCTTTCACACTTAACTGTCCTGTCCATTAAAGGCAAAAAATGCCCCAAAAAAATATCTTTAAAAAAAAAAAAAATAATAATGTTGAGTTGTCTGAGAAAATACTGTGATCATTTACCATTTATTATGGACAGAAGTGGAAACAGAAATGTGATTGCTTTGTTTTCTTTGTTTTGTCAGTTCTCACGTTGGTTTATGGAGCTGTTTTTTTTGGAACAGAAATAAATGTTAAAACCATCAGTCGAGTCTCTTACCATCTTTCGAAGGGTATGCTAGAACATTCCTCTAAACTTTTTTTTCCCAAACTTTTTTTTGTATTTACTGAGCTTCATCATGATTAAAATAAACCTGAAAATAATATTTTGCTGACACAGGCTGGAGCTTTCGGTCACAAAGTCCTCCTCTCAGCCATGTTCGCGCAGTCATGGGTTCACTTTGGAAACTCAGCCTGATTTCTCTCAAATGAATGAAGTACATGTTTCTTGGACGGTCAAAAGATAAAAAGGAGGAAAAAATGATGGCATATACATATTTGATTCATGGCCTGAGATTATTTATTAAAATAATGTATGTCAAAAGACAAAGTATCTGAAATACCATGATGTCTGGATAGTATAAGAGACCAAAGTTAGGTCAGCACCATGGTCTGTATTTAGTAATAAATACGTAGAGTACTTTACTGATCCCCAGAAGGGGAAAAGGGGGCACATACCCGGCCATGCAGGAGCAAAGCAGACTGATACTCTTGTCATCCTCTGTCTCTACTTCTCCCTTCATTGTTAAGACCAGAAGCCTCATTTTGCGTCATTTTGACTTGTTCATAACAATTAACGTAGTGAATATATCCTTTCATCACCTTTCAACTATCTAATAAACACTGTGGCACTCATTCTTGCCATGTTTCTTTTTGTCAAGCTTGTCTGACTTGGCAACAGTTATTAAGGAGGGGATTTAAGATTTGTCAAACTGACCGATCGACAAATTGACAGGCTGATCATTCATTTAACAAAAGGAATCTGCTATGCTATATATGACTGTAGCATGATTTGAAGAAAACAACCCAAAAATAACAATGCTGTGCTCAGCAATATGGAATCTGAAAGTGTACTTGGTCTTAGGTTTTATAGCTGTTGGTGTCTGTGGATTGTAGGAAAATCAGAAGATGTTACAATTTTTAATATAGCCTACTATTCCCAGTATCACATTCTTCTTGACTCACCAATGGTGGAGACTACAGTTCCCACGAAGTAAAATGCTCCTGGAATGTCCCATAGGGCTCTGCCTCGATCTGCCCGGATGCCTGCAGTCCTAGCCTCCTCATAGTAGCGCAACAGAGATTTCAGGTCTTCACAACTTATGTTATGCTCATGACTGAAGTCTCTTAGCCTCCTTTCCCAGAGCTGGTGGGCCTTTAGCTCCACTGGTCTCTCCAAGGAAGAAAATATGGCAGCGCCAGCCAGCATGTAAAGAGCAATGAGCAAACAGAGCAGGTAGAAACGAGCAGTTTCCCTGCTAGGGATCAGGGATGAGCAGCAGCGGGAGAAATCGTGCTTCATTGTGACTTGTATAGACCGCAGACAGATTTTCGTCTTTGTGTGCTGTAAAGTCATGTGCTGCACAATAGCTTCAAGAAGAATGATATTTGCTCAGCTGCTTGAAACCGTCAATATACAGGTGCTACAGGAGAGAACATTGTTAGTCCAGTTTGCTCTTCTCTCTGTCTGTCTACTTCACCCATGCAATTCTGTCTTATTCAATGCAATTAAGACTACTTACACAACTACAGTTTCCCCAGCCAAAAGTGCGTTAGTACCAGTTGCTTCTGGGTCTGCAGGTGGCTTTAACAGTGACTTTAATGATCTGTGTATGGCTACTGCTTATCACCAGCTCAATAATCCATCTTTACTTTCCTTTTATGAGCCTCAAACATATGTGCTCCTGCTCTCCCTTAGAGTTAACATAAAACAGACAATATGTGTGTCCGCTGCCTGAGTTTTTTTCCCAAGATCCTTATGCTTTCAGGCCCACACTCCCTCTATCCCTTTTATCTAAGAACAAAAAGACTTAACATATTTTCCAGCTGTCCATCTGTTGGAAATGAGCAATACTATTTTTTGGGAAATTTGTCTGCTCAAAGCTTGTAGATATCACAACATGAAGACTTGTTAACTCATATGGAATTCATTTGGCAGCAACAACAAACAAAATATGTAGGACACTTAAGCTGTTGTGATTACTTTTACCTGAACTATTCTGTAATGGCATGCGAGGTATTTCGGTGTGTCCCATATGGTTGCCAAGTTGTCGTTAAGTATGTCTGTGTTTTTTCCTCTTGTACTGAAACACCTCATGTATTTAGACATTCCTGTCTGAAACATAAAAATGTGTCTGATGAGGGCTGTGTCTGATGGGAATGGAACAAAAAGAAACATTGCATTCCAAATAGAACAAAGGTCAGTGTGTGTTCATTTTTGCAATCATTCCAGCACTGATTGTTGTGCTCACCCCTGTGTTCCTGGTGTCATTCCCTGCTCCGTTTTCTGCCTGGTGTTCTGTTTGGATTTTGGATTTGAGTTCATCGTATTATCCAGGCTGGTTTTCAGTTTAGTTTTGGTTCTGCCTGCATTTGGACTTTTAGTTAGTTACCTGCTGGTACAGGCTGCATTAAAGCTTGCTTTAATGATAACAATTCAACCTGCCTGTTGGTCTGCATTTAGGTCCTCCTTGAACTGATACGTAACAGACCCCTGCAAGGTCAGGCCAAAGCTCCACCCAGTTCAGTCGCTTACCAACTGGTTTGGCTGGGTCCCCCTCCTTCTCCGCTTCAGCAGCCTAGGTCATAAAGAAGTCAGTGGGCTATGGCGACTAACCTTTAGCCGGCCAGGATCAGGCTGGCTGGGTCAGTGAAATGTCGAAACAGGGCATTGATTCATTGGGCTCAATCCACTGTGCCCAAAGAGTCCAGTAGAGGGTGGAGCCTGTGTGCGATAGAATAAAGGTTACAATATTGTAACCCTAATTCTGCTAACACAGTTGGACCCCCCTACCTAGAGATGCTGTCACTCCTAACCCGCTTGCTGAAGAGGGTGTAAGGTGTCTGACGGTGAGAATCCACCTCCTTATATACTGTGAGGTCCGCACATATTCGGGAAGGCACATCCTGATTAGCCAGCTACAGCTATGCTTTTCTCAGTGTAGACAATAGACACCCTGCATACCACATTTCCTGGGTGTGCTCGTGATTAGAGGAGTATTACCCATACTGTCCCCTAGAGGGCTCCCCCTGTGCTAATAGGTCAAGGGTTACAATATCTTCGTGTGTGCTGTTTCTGTGTCTACCAATGTTGTCTTTACGGTTCCAGAGGAGCTGCTTGCAGTGTGTAGCCAGATTTGGAGCATCAAGGCCCATTACTACGCAAAACATAAAAGCCCCAGCTTTAAGCGTGACCAGCATGCGTTATTTAATGGTTAATAATGGTTCTGAATGAATCCACCCCCTTAATTCCTTTTCAGCCACTTTTGGATCAAACACTTTGCTGATATTTTGAGTCTTTTGACTTGATAGTGTGAATTTCATCCATGTAACACTCATCTTGGCTGACATAACAGGTGGATTCAGTTCTCGGCAGGCACACATTCAATGCTGCTGAATAATGAATTCACCTCTTAAGTCCCTTTTCAGACACTCTTGGATCAAACAGTGTTACCAGCTCATATCTTGGGCTGTTTTGACCGGACAGTCTGAATTTCATCCAACATTCATTATGGCTGAAATGCAGGTGTTGTTTATTAAATAGCAATGATGTGAAGGTGATGAAGGAGACTCCGCTGACACCGTATTGCTTGTATATAGAAAGGTTTATTACAAGAAGTACAGCATTAAATCAAGCACCTAGGATTGCCTGTGAGAGTGTTCGAAGTCAATATGAACTGCTCTGAATAACCGCTCCAACTACCCTGCCTATATAGGTTGGTTGTTTTCGTGAACTTTGAGACAAAATGTGACAGGTGACAGAGAGACAATCTAGATGGAATCCAACCTTTCAACCTAGCTTATCACTCCTTGACCTGGGCCATAATGAAGTCTTGACCTGGGCCCCTAACTGATCATAAAAGACCCCGGACATCAAATAACATGTGGCACGTCAAATACTACACAGGGAAATGCAAATCTTGGCAGGTAGAACATCAGTATTGTCAAATTATACAGTTCAGTATAACCTTCTAAAATGATTATAAACACAACAAGAAAGAAAATTTTTATAATTCATTATAACACACATCTATACATGTTTTATGCATACGTAAGCATTATGTGTGTTCATGAGTGCAGTTGTAGAGCTTTATAAATGCATTATAATTCACTGTGAATGGCTTTATGATGCATGACAGATGTTCATCTTCATAGTAGGTGGCTGCATTCAGCTCACTGCTTTAATCACTTTCATCCACAGAGTGTTTATCATTCATGATACACACACAATTTTCCTTGGAGGAAACCTTTGTTGTCTGATAAGGATGAAATTCTTTTGTAAATTTTGGCAGCATGTACAGGTCCAGCCCATCATGTTGTTCATCACAGCCAAATGTAAACAATTGTGTGAGTCAGTGGTTTCAACTTTTCATGTAAACTGAACAATATAAACATATGATGCCCACTTATTCACCACTGTCCATGATTGTTGACTTCACTTTTCCTCTATAAAAGCTCTAAAACTGAGAATCTGGCTGCTGAACTTTTGAAACAAAATTTCTGGTGGTTAAGGAAGGATGACCAAGGTGTGACACCTTGAACAAGCTCACCAGAGTCCTTAGTCTGTAACAGCTGCCCCATAACTGTGTCTCTCACTCTTCTTACAGCTGGCATCCACCTGCATCACCTTATTTTGTGCCCTCAACACACATGCCACACATCCATGCACTGCTTTCATTGTTGACATTGCCAATCTACCCAGTCTATTGTTCTGTGGTAACTTTAATTTGATAAATGATTCATGATTTATTTTTGTTTTTGACAGGGAATATATCTATTGCTGCAGCTAAACAAGTTCTGTTTATGATTTTACTGAAAAACAGTAATTTGGAGTTTAATGCAAGAATATCTGATAAATGAAACTGATGTCAGAGTAGAGCCTCAACAATGAGCCCAGTCTCACTCCGAAGTCATCTAAATCAGTGACTTGCTGTGTCAGCAACCAACGAACAAGGCATCCTTTAACGCTGGCATGATATGAGTCCAGTTGCTGTTATCGTTTAACTGTGCCCGGCGGTGTCAGGGGGAAACGTGGCGGCACAAGGAGGAAAGTTAAAGTGGCGAAAGTCAAAGTGGGCCAGGCAGGTGTGGTGGCGGATGGGTCCAACACAACAAACACCAACATTCACCCGAGAGAGCAGTGTTTGCATCCCATAAGATTCAAAAGCCAAACCCTGTTCTTTTTTCCTAAACCTAACAACGTTTTTTCGTTGCCTAAATCCAGCTATGTGTGTTTGTTGTTGAAGGAAAAAAAAACATCAATTTGCGGTGTTGTACGGAAGTAGTGCATTTATTTTGTAAGAGACTGTATGCAAACGTTAAATTGCCTGTGAGTGTATCTTGAAAGAAGACAACGCGTTTAACAGGCAGAACTTGACACAGTGTCCCAGAACGTCAACAACCAACACACCCAGGGTACCCTGCATGACGTATATGTGGACGTGGAAACCAAACTTCTATATGTGACAAGGTTGGAGTGAGAACATGTTGCAACAGTTTGGTTTCACAGAAATATCTGAAATGACCAGCAAGGCGCCAGTGATTAATCCACATTTATTTTGTGTTTAACAGAGATGTTGCATAGACCAGTATAAAAATAAAACTATTTGTCAAGAGGGAGCAGAAAATGACTTGTAGTACCACTGAAAACTAGGGAAACCACCCCCATCCCCTTTTTTAGTGTGACCCAATACAAACAGACTATGTATAATTTTTTCAGTGCTCAAAGTAATACTTCATCCCCCAAATTAACCTTTACTCACCCCATGTTGCAATGAATTAGTGAGGACAACATGGATTTTTCCACATGCCTCCGGTGAACAACAAACTCAGAAAATTCTTCATAAACTGAAGTCATAGGGGTCTGTGATAAACAACCCCAACCTGCCACACATCTGCCACACATAATGGAAATACCCAAAGAACAAGTACATCAAATTTGTACTTTAGTACAGTAGGTACTTGAGTAAATATACTTAGTTACTGTCCATCACTGCATTTGTCTCATCATTATGCTTTCTGTTTACATTTTTATGGAGACTTGACAGTTAACTTGATACACCTAGAAAAAAAACAAAAGCTGTTTAATATTGAATTAAGTCTAACATTTTATTGTGTTGAGTTGTAGATTGTGGTGCTGTTGAACTGTACTGGATTATACTGACAGCAGTTTGTCATTTAGTCTGTCCTCACCAATATAAATGGCATCAAACAGGTCAGATGTTAAGACGAAAATTTTATTCAGCCAGACATCAGGTATATAATTCATATCAGATAATCAATATTTAAAATGCTGTTGATTAA